TCCTGCATCGGGCTCTCTGCTCGGTGGGGAGCCTGCTTTCTCCTCTCTCTCTCTCTGCCTGCCTCGCTGCCTACTTGTCTGTCAAATAGATAAATAAAATCTTTAAAAAAAAAATCTTTTATGTCATTCTGCATCTTACCAAATCAGCTATTGAGTTTAAACTAAAATTGTGAGCTGTCTTTTTAGCAAGCATACAAAAAGTTCTGATCTGTTGAATTTGTATTCGTAACAACCTGCACTGGCAAAATTATTACATTTCTGGCGCCTGGGTGGCTCAGTTGTTAAGTGTCTACCTTCGGCCCAGGTCACGATCCCAGAGTCCTGGGATCGAGCCCTGCATCAGGCTCGTCGGAGGGAAGCCTGCTTCTCCCTCTCCCACACCCTCTGCTTGTGTTTCCTCTCTCTCTGTCTCTCTCTCTCTCTGTCAAATAAATAAATAAATAAAATCTTTAAAAAATTATTAAATTTCTCCTCATCCTTGATTTTAAATTTATAAAATGAGCAGGAGAGCATAAAGTAGGCAATAAAGTAGGCAGAAGCTTTTGAGGTTCCTGTATAAAAGTAAACATGGTATAGGGAAGGTTCTTTGAATTTTGCTGGAAATTGAATCGGCTACAAAGCTACTGTCTAAAGAGGACATTACTTGTATTTAACAGCAGTTCTTTTATTCTTGATCTCAGCAAGATTATGAGGCTGAAACAGGAAGTGCACCCAATGTTTGGGAACAATTTTCTGTATTAGAAATGACAATTTCTTCATCCTCACCCTGGATGCTTTATCTGTCTGAATGGTAGAGATTAATGTCCTCTTTCACTTCTATTTTGTATGATTCTGAATAAATTTTAGAATATAAGACATTAATATTAACTACAACAATGATAATAATGGCAAATCAGTGCTAAGTAGTTCTGAGAAATTGAATTTATTTGTTATACATCTTTTTTAAAGGATGTTATTTATGTGAGAGAGAGAGATAGCAAGAGAGAGCATGAGCAGGGGTGGGGGAGAGGGAGAAGCAAGCTCCCCGCTGAGCAGGGAGCCCAACATGGGGCTCTATGCCAGGGCCTGGAGATCATGACCTGAATCCAAGGCAGACGCTTAACCAACTGAGCCACCCAGGTACCCCTGTCGTATATATTTTTTAAAGCTACATCCACATATTTAGAAATCAAAATAATTTTCCCTGGTCTTAACCTTTTCTCCTCTCATCCCTTCAATGATCATATTTATTAGTTTCTTATGTACCCTTCCAGTGTTTTCTTTGTTTTATTTTGTGCAGGTCCAAATGCTTATTCTTATTTCCCACCTTTCTAAAAAGGTAACATTTTTTAATATTATCCTGCACCTTGATTTTTCCCTTTATTATATTTTGGAGATTTTTCCATGTCTTTACATAAATCACTCTCTTTTTAGGGGACACAGTTACGTAGTATTCCATTGTGTAGCTACACCACCATCTATTTGTTAATGCGTCCAGTTCCCTATTAATGGACATTTAGGTTATTTAGCATCTTTTGCTATTAGAAAGAAAATCGTGACTGGTAATTGTTTTAAATATGGATGAATGCAGATATTCCCAGTTATGGGGTTGCTGGATCAAAGGGCAAACAGATTTGTTATTTGGGTAGGTATTTCCATGGCCTGCCGTCGGCGCAGTGCACACACTGAGGTTCAATTATTTCCCAGGGTTTTCTCCAGGTAATGGGCATGTTAGGGTGAGGCAACCTCTGGCTGTGCCTTTAAGGAGCTGGAGCCAGGTAGACACACAACTGAAAAAGTGAATTAGCATACAGGTGGTAACTTATAATAGTGGTGCTGGGTTAAATGGAAGTGTAACATTGTGGGCGTTAAATGGGATAGGTAGGTGGGGAAATGCGCTGGGAAGGAGAGACTCCCACAGAGAGCTGGCTCTCTGTGTTGGGTCTTGAAGAACGAGAACGGATTTGCCGGGTCCAGCAGTCTATGTTTTAATAAGCCCTCCAGGGTATTTTGATAACACGCTCCAGTTTGAGAACCACTGCTGTAAGCAGAGGTTGGCCAACAACTATTTCTGTAAACAAGGGACAGGGTTCCAGGCCGAGGCCTGGGTTTGTGATTCTGACTCTCAGGTCTGATAGAGTTCCTCTCTGGATCTGGGTAAATCAATCCCGTGTGAGTGCTTTTGTTTTGTTTTTTTTTTTTAACTAGTGCTTTATTTAAAACAGAGCAAGGGGGATATGCCTTCACATACAAATTCGGATCAAACTGAGATAAACTGTTCTAGTGCCAGATTCGCACAAATGGGAAACTCTGACCTTGCTAAATGTTGGAGAGGATGTGGAACGCTGCTGGGGCATGTAAATTGCTATGACCACTGCAGTAACATCTAATAAAGTCGAATGTTTGCATACTCTGTGGCTCAGCAAGTCTAGTGCTAGGCCTCTATCACTAAGTGTGGGTTAGCAAACTTTTATTTAAAGGGAAGGAAGTTGTTTAGGCTTTACAAGCCGTGCACTCTCAATTCCACCAGTGTAGTGTGAAAGAAGTCATAAACAACATACGAACACATGTGTGACTGTATTCCAATAAAACTGCTTATAAAAAGAGTCATTTGTCATTCCTCGAGTGTTTCTCAAACATGAATGTGCATCAGAATCACCAGGTGGGTTTATTAAAACACAGATTAACTGGACCCCAACCCCTGAGTTTCTGATTCAGGGGTCTGGGGTGGGGCTGAGAATTTGCATTTCCAAAGCCCTCCCGCAGTGTCAGTGATGCTGATCCAGAGGCCACACCTTGAGAACCATTGCCCTAGAGAATTTGAGGCACTCTCTACAAGGATATTCATAGCAGCTTAGCTCTAAACTGGAAACAATGTAGATATCAAGAATAGAACATATAAATACATTGTGGCAAACTCTTAAGCATGTTATACAATCATGAAAAGGTAAGTAGCCGCCCTCAGCAACACTGAGGCATCTTGCAAACAATGTTAAAGAATGGAAGCAACACAGAAGCAATTCATGATAAGGTTCAAGGACAGGGGAACTAATCTGTGCCATACGTGGGTGGGAAAGCCATGGAGAAAGGCGAAGCAAGTGGGCATCTAAATGTCCACGTTGAGGATCCACTGGGGGTGGGATGACATTGTGATCAGAAAGAGACAAGGTCTAGGAGGCTGGTGGTGATATGTTACCTTGGCTGGGGTCACCTGAATGTTGGCTTTGTGGTATGTTATTTGTTTCTATGGTTTATTTCATAATTTTTACAGGATTTAAAATGCACTAAGTTGACTCTCTGATTTCTGGGTAGCTCTGTCCAACCAAGAACGACCTATAAACAGAACTATTGAGTGCTTACTAAAAGCTGAGCGGTGTTGAAACCCTTTATCTGCAATACACTTTGCCTGGCCTGTATTCATTCAGTTACCCAAAGAGTTCTATTTAAAGATTTATTTATTTTTAGAGAGAGACATAGAGCGTGCACACAGGTGAGGAGGGCAGTGAGGGGCAGAGGGGGAGAGAGAATCTCAAACAGACAACCCCCCCCACTGAGTGCGTGCCTAGCGTGGGCTCCATCCCACAGCCCTGAGGTCATGATTGGAGATGAAATCAAGAGCCAGACACTTCACCGACAGGGCCACCCAGGTGCCCCAAGAGTCCTGTTTCAATAGGGCTATTATTGTCCCCATTTTACAGACGAAGAACAGAGGTACCCAAGCCTAACCGAGCTACTAAGGATACAGCCAAAGCAGTTTTGTTCCTCAGCCGGCTGTGTGGCAGTGAAGTTTACTTTAAAGGATTTTCACCTCTCATTGACATAGAATCATATAAATCGTGGGCATTTGATACCAAATGAGGAAACAACTTGATCTGAAGAAATCCATTCACTATTTTAACCTACCATTTCCAATTCTGTGTCCAGTGTCCATACAGAACAAACCAGCTCCTTTCTCCCAGTCTGCCACCCGTCCTTTGTGTCTCCGTTACCAGTGCCTGGTGCTCTACTTAGCACATAGAAAGGCCTCAAAGAATTTTCCACTCAGTTCTTGATAGCTTTTCATGTATTTGATAGCTTTTGTTGTTGGAATACCCTGCTGTCTCTGGTCTGGTCCAGGTAGCACATCCCCCTCCACTTTCTTACCCCTCCAACCTCAGATGATGGTTGTTTTGTGATCAAGTTCCCAGTCTATTCCCTCTTCTGGTAACCTCAGGATTGATTGAGTTTTGGCTTTTAAATTCTTCAAACCACAGTCCTCAAACCTCAGTTTTTCAGCGTGGTCTGCAAGATAGTTGTCAGCATTACGAGAAAGAACAGCTTGAGATCTAGGAGCTAGGAGAAACCAGGACATCTGAAGGCCTGTGGACTTCTTTCCTACTGAATTCAGGTTCCCTGGCGCTTGCTTATTCAGCCCGGCAACAGACGGACTCACAGTTTCCTCGTGCTTGTAAAAAGAATTTTAATCAATGTATTTATTTTCACAAGATTATTTAATAAAAATTACATATGTATTTTAATAGAATTTTCTTTTTACAGTTTACTTAAGATTAGATTCATGATCTATACATTTTAATTTGTGACAGTATGAAATTCTTGGCTCATCAACTAAATACAGTAGACAATTGCAAATAGCAGTTTAGAACACATGTTTACAGGTTAGATTATAAAGTACGCTACAGGGGCACCTGGGTGGCTCAGTGGGTTAAGCCTCTGCCTTTGGCTCAGGTCATGATCTCAGGGTCCTGGGATTGAGCCCTGAATCGGGCTCTCTGCTCAACAGGGAGCCTGCTTCCCCCTCTCTCTCTGCCTTCCTCTGCCTACTTGTGATCTCTCTCTCTCTCTGTCAAATAAATAAGTAAAATCTTAAAAAAAAAAAAAAAGTACACTACAGAGTCATATGCTACCTTTGTGAATATCATTACATTGATGGTTTACATCATTTCGTTGATTTTTTTTTTTCTCATTTCAAAAATAACCTAATTTGGTAATAAAAGTTTTTCCCCCCACCCTCTCTATTTTAGTGGTGAAACAAGATTTAACAAGGAGAAAATAATTCAAGGTTAGTATACTCTTAGCTTTTTCCTTTAGTGTTAATGTGATGTGTGAGTTAATCAGATTGGGTGGAGGAGGGTAGACCAGGGGCAGCTCTGTATTGTGAACAGCTTTAGAGAAAGTGTCATAAGCATGGAAATATGATCAGAGCAGATGGTCACCAAGAGGAATAAGTCTCTTAAGTGAACTGAATGTAAAGAACAGGATTCCAAGTTGTTTATAGGTAGCTTCAAGTGCCCAGTCAGCTGATTCAGGAGTTAATGTTGAGTCTAGTGGTCTTAAAATATAACTGCTGTAACTTAAAATGGCTTCATATTTGGAAACATGAAGGTTGCTGGCTGGTGTTAATGGTATTTTTCAGCTAAGATAGTTATATTATTTTTAGTAAGAACAAAGAAGAGGTTTTAAAAAGAGAATTCCTATTCTCACGCGGGATTCTTACTTTATTCTGAACAGATTCTTCCTCCCTTGTTCTGCTAATTTGGGTTCAGACCTTTTAATCTCCCTATGATCCAGCAAGGCTGGCTCTTAAAGAATATCTTGGGTAAACTCTCAGCCAGACAGGCTATTTCTGTGCTGTGATTATAAAAGCGTTTAGCTTTATTTTTTTGCTTAGGGACATCTGGAGTTTGCAGAACCTGATTTTCATACCCAGGGTGCCCCACTCCCTCTTCTGAAAACTAGTCTGATAATTAAATGAACCCTTTGTTTCCAGTGACATGTACCCCACCCAAATTAGCCTCTGTACTTCCTGTGCCTTATCACCCTGTCTTTTAGTACTGCTCACCTGTCTTATTTCATTAGACACCGACAGTGGGGCAGCAATACAAATTTTTGTGGTCTCAGCTGGTTTTGCTATTTGTTTTGTGTACATCCCCTACCTCTGTCAGTTAGATGTTTATTAGTTCTTTAAGTTAAAACATTCAAACCTTATATATTTCCAGGTGCCATTTTTGTTGCATAACTACAGTGTTGATATGTAGTCATTTCATAGGTATTCAGCACCAGGTGTCTTAAATTCCCACCAGGATTTCTTCAGTGACCCATGAATTATTTAGAACTGGTTTTTACATTTCCGGATGACTGGACTTTTTGTTTCTGCTCTTCATCTTTTATGATTGGCTTCCAGTTACATTTTGTATTCTGATAAGATGGCTTATTTTATGATCCTCTTTGAAATCTTTTAACATGCTCAGTGTTTATACATCTACCATTGTGTGCTTGAGAACAATCTATGTTTTCTGATTATTGGGTTTGGAGTTATAGGTCAAATAATTAACCTCTGTTTTGTTGTTCAGATCTTCTATGCTTTGTTAATTTTGTGAATTTACTGATTTGCCTGCATGACCGAAATACCAGTTTGTGGGTGAGATGTGGGATTTGCCATGGTGATGGCCAGCTTATAGTTTAGTACCTGACATTCTGTCAATTTGTGCTTTATGTGTTCTGCTCTGATACAGTTGAGTATATTTTATTAGGCACATACACAGGTTTAAAAATTGTTCTGTCTTCCCAGTGAAAAGGGTCATTGATTATTTATAATATCCTCCCGATCCTAAGACTTTCATCATAAAGTCTTGCATTTCTGAGTATAATATAGCTTCTCCGGCTATTTTGGGCTCGGAATTTGCCTGGTATGTGTTTTTCTCTTGCTTTCCTTTCAACCTTTCTGGGTGCTGATGTCTTAAACGTTACCTCATAAAAACTACGGAGCTGATTTTGGTTCTGTCCCCCCACCCTTTTCCTACTGGCTTTGGAATGATCAACTATTTCCATTCTTTCAATGGTCACCTTTAAATTTTTACCATTCAGATCTAATGAAGTATAGTATCAATTATCTCCTTTCCCCCCAAAATACAAGGAACTTATATGACTGTTGCTTAGTATCTTAGTCCTATCCTTTTTAAACCATAGGACATAAGCATTATTATTTGCTTTGTTATTTAGACAATGTTTGTTTACATTTACAAATATATTCACCGGTTTCTCTCCTCCTCATTTCTTTTCCATCTCAGACCTTATTCCTGAAGTGTCTTCTTTGAAAGGTCCCCTAGGCAGTTAGTTGCTGGTAAAGATAGTTTTAATTGTTTTTATTCCAAACAATTCTATTTCTATTCTATTCAACCTTCTTTAGCCTAGACAATTTAGACTGACAGTTCTTTTAGCATTTGGAAGATACTGTTGTGCTGTTTCTTTGGCTTCCATTGCTCCTGTTACGAAGTCTTCTCAGCCAAATCTTATTCCATGATACATAATCAGTCTTTCTCTGCATCTACTTCTGAAATCTTTTGTTTGATTTTAGTATTCTATAGTTTCCCTTAATATATCTAGGATGGATTTTTTTTTTCTTTTAATTTATCCTGCTTGGTGTTTTCTTTTTCTGTAGATTCATGTTTTCCATCATTTCTGGAAAATTCTCAGCCATTATCTCTTCATATTTTCTCTCTTCCATTTTCTTTCTTCTTTCTGGAGTGCCGGTCAGATGTATGTTAGGGAATATCATTCTGTCATTCATGTCTCTAATAGAAGTGAGATGTGTTTCATCTCCTTTATGCTGCATGTGGGGTAATACCTCAGCCCTGACTTTGAGTTCATTAAGCCTTTCTGTGACTGAATCTCCCTTTATTCCCTGAGGGATTATTTCCCTCCTCAGCAATTCATAATATTTTTCATTATTAAAAGATCCATCTGGTTCTTTTAGAAAGCTCCCTGGTTGTTTTTGATGGTTTCTTGTTAACTGCTAATTTTTGGGATTCCATCCTTATGTTTTATGTACAGTTTGGAGTCTGTATCTGCTGATTTTAATGTCTGAAGTATTAATGATTCTGAATCTGCTTTTTGTTGTTTCTGCTGACTTTCATTCACGATGGATTATTTTCTTGTATGTTAAGTTAATGACTGAACTATTATTTGCTCTTAGTAGGAAACTTGTTAGCCTTTATTCAGTCAGATTTGCTCTGAAGCGAATTTGCATTGGATTTTAATATATACTATTGACCTGAAACTATACTAGCTTCCTTGTAGGATCTCTGGCTTCCAGGAATGCTGAGTTCAGTCCTCCCCACCTTGCTGTGCCACGCAGTAGTCTCCCTCCCCCAGCTGCTCCCTTGCTTGTGCTGATATCCTGGCAACTCCATATTTTTAATGTTAATATTCAGATTTCAACTTAGGGTATTTTGGTTGCTTTGCATTTCCTCTTAGAGATTTTCCTGTGAGCAGCAAACACACACATACACAAACACAACCATTTAGTTCTTTTGCAATAGAAGGACCCTTTAGCCCTTCTCCTGAAAAGGAAGGTTCCAAAGTTGTTGTTAAGGAAAAGGAAGGAAGGAGGAAGGGAACAAGAGTGAGGGGCAATAATACAATGTTGAACATTTGGGCAGTGGAGGTAAAGAAGGGAAACTCTTTAGGTGAGGATCCTGCCTTTCAAATGCAGCACCTGGGTTGAGAACGTAAGATCAGAGCCAGCATTAATAAAATACAGCTAATGAGGGGATGGACAGACACGAGAGAGGGGAGCTGGAGACAAATGAATATTATCATCATCATCTGATTACCATTAGGCAGACATTCTTTTGGGAAACATTTGAATACCTGAGCCTTTATAGGATTATAGCTTAATTTTACTTCCTTTTTTGGTTCTCTGAAAAATTATATAGAAGGGTACCCAAGGAAATCTTTTAATAAAATGTAGACAAATTCCATTTATATTTTCTTACATGTGATTTATTTGCATCGGTTATATTTACATTTGAGTGTTCTTATTCCTTCTCTGACTACCACAGGACAAGGAGTAGATGAGCCTCTTTCAGAAACTGGATTTAAACAAGCAGCTGCTGCTGGCATATTTCTTAATAATGTGAAGTTTACTCATGTTTTCTCCAGTGACCTCATGAGGACGAAGCAGGTAGGTTTAAAGTCAAGTTTGAGACTGTTGAGTCAAGAGTCTCAACAGTTATAACCTTAAAAACTGCTTCCAGAATCTGTAGGAAATTCAGTCACACGCAGATACCATCCCCAGTCCTCTCCTTCTCTGCCAACAGAACTTTTTCTTTTCATTTTACTTTTGTACTTTATTTTATTTTGGTAATCTTTAAATTAAAGTAGCTTGGGGAAAATGTCTAACAAAGTATCTTTACAAAGACAAAGAAGGTTTATGAGAGAGAGCCAGCAGAAACACCAGACAGGAGAATTTAACCCACAAAGACATCAAATATTGGAATCCAGTCCCAGTTAAAAAAGAAAACAACTATGTTACTGTAAAGAAATAAAAGACATGTTTGAAATATCTTTAGGGAACAGATTAGTACAGTTTACTATATAAATGACCCCAGAGAATTAAAAAGGAACCAAATATATTTCTAAAGACTCCATGGAGGGAATAATTCCCCATGAGGGAATAACAAGCTTGGAGTATAGTCTGCCTGCACATAAGCCACTAGTGAAACAGAACAAAATTTGTGAAACAGCTGTTTGCAGACATTGGACTTCAGACAGTGTGGGCCTGTGATCCCCAAATGAAGTGAAACAAATGAGGTGAGCCTTGGATTGTCCTGGTCTTCCACCTGATGCAACTTTCCGATGCTGGTAGGAGAAACCAGATAGAGCCAGTGGCCTCAGTGAGTTGAGAAGACAGCACTTGGGATTTGAAGAGATTAAATAACTAAAGATTGTGGGTCAGAGTGTTGGAAGAGGGAGCTACACAGAGAAAGAACTCTAGAAATATGGATAGAGAACCCCTAAAATCCTTAGTGGACTAGAGTCTGCATGTGCGTAGGTGAAATTGCATGAGGTCAGGTGTAAAACAACTATGGGAGAGAACAGTTGCTGGGGAGCCAGAAGCCAGACAATGTCAAGAACTCCCACAGGTTGGGAATCATTTGAGTTGCTACCATCCAGAGTGGAGAGATTTTGTTAAATATATCAAACTATGCAGTGGAAACTTCAGAAAAATCACACCTTAATAGTGAGGCTGATCTGTGCTCAGAGGAACACAATGAGGAATGAAATAGAAGATATAGAAAGAACCAAATCACACCTTAACAGTGAGGCTGATCTGTGCTCAGAGGAACATAATGAGGAAAGAAATAAAGATACAAAAGAACCAAATTCATCTTCGTGAGATCAAAATACAATATTCTGAAATGAAAATTTGACAGGAGGGTATTATTAGCAGGTTAGACACTGTTAAAGAAGAGGTCAGTGAACATGAAGTCATAGAAATTTGAAATAGAGAAACAACAACCCCAAATTAAGAAACAAGACTAAAAATGGAAAAATGGGGACACCTGGGTGGCTCAGTTGGTTAAGTGTCTAACTTGTGATTTGGGTTCAGGTCATGATCCATGGGTTGTGGGATCGAGCCCCATGATTGAGAAGGGAGTCTGCTTGAGATTCTCTCCCTCTGCCCTTTCCCCCACTCGTGTGCACTCATGCTCGCTCGCTCTCCCCCGCCCCCCCCCCCCGCTTCAAATAAATAAATAAATAAATCTTTAAAGAAAAAATGAAGAGCCTCAATTGAGGGGCCTGAAGTAAACCCACACCTATATGGTCAGGGTGTTTTTGTTGTTGTGGGTTTTTTCTTTCTTTCTTTCTTTCTTTTTTAAATTAGTTTGGGGTTTTTTGGTCAATGGATCTTTTTTAGTCCTCTCCTTATTATTATTTTTAATGGAGTCTGGCTAAAGGTTTATCAGTTTTATTGATCTTTTCAAAGAATCAGCTCTTGGTTTCATTGATCTGTTTTATTCTTCTTTTAGTTTCTACTTCATTTATTTCTGCTGTTTATTATAATTTCCTTCCTTCTGCTAGTTTTAGGTTTTGTTGTTTTTTGAGCCCCTTTAGGTATAAGTTAGGTTGTTTATTTGAGATTTTTCTTGCTTCTTGAGGTAGGCCTGTGTTTCTATAAACTTCCCTCTTAGGATAGATTTTGCTGCAGCCCAAAGGAAAATCTTGGGGAAAATCGTGGACCCTTGTGTTTTCATTTTAATTTGTCTCCATGTATGTTTTGGTTTCCTCTTTAATTTCTTGGTTGACTCACTCATTATTTAGTAGCGTGTCTTTTAAACATGTGAAAGAGCATGTATTTGTGCTCTTTCCAGATTTTTTCTTGTGGTTGATTTCTAGTTTCATACTGTTGTGGTTAGAAAAGATACATGGCGGGACTTTGGTCTTTCTGAATTTGTTGAGACTTGTTTTGTGCCCTAATAATGTGCTCTGTTCTGGAGAGTGTTTCCTGTATACTTGAAAAGGATGTGTAGTCTGCTGTTGTAGGATAAAATGCTGCGAATATATCAGTCTGTTAAATCCAGTTGGTCCAGTGTGTCATTTAAAGCCACTGTTTCCTTGTTGATTTTGTTTAGACGATCTGTTGATGTAAGTGGGATGTTAAAGTCCCCAACCATTATTGTATTCCTATCAATTACTGCCTTTGTGTTTGTATTAATTCACTTATGTATTTGCATGCTCCCTTGTTGGATGCATCAATATTTACAATAGTTTTATCTTCTTGTTGGGTTGTTCTGTTTATTATTATATAGTATTTTTCTTTGTTTCTTATTACAGTCTTTGTTTCAGTCTATTTTGTCTAATATCAGTCTTGCCCTCTAGCTTTCTTTTGACACCCATTTGTATGATAAATGTTTCTCCATCCCCTCACTTTCAATCTGCATGTGTCTTTACATCTGAAATGAGTCTCTTGTGGGCAGCGTATAGATAGGTTTTTTTTTTTTTTCCTTTAATCCATTCTGTCACCCTATTTCTTTTGATTGGAACGTTTAGTCTATTCACATTCAAAGTAATTATTGACAGGTAAATATTGACTCTATCTTGATGAAGTCCCAGTAATCCATTTTGTGTGTTCTTCATTTCTGATTGGTTCTTTCTTTGTGTTAAATGCCTCACTGATGTCCTCCACTTTTTTCTCAACTCCAGTGAGTATCCAGTGAGCGTTGCTTCAAATTCTCTATCGGCAGTGTCACTTATCTCCATTTCACTTGGGTCTCTTGCTGTGATTTTGTCCTTTTCTTACATTTGGGGCATATCCCTGTCTCCTCATTTTGTGTAACCTGCTGTGTCTATTTCTGTGTATTAGGAAAGTCAGCTACGTCTGCCGCTGTTGAAAGTCATGGCCTCATGACGAAGAGGTCCTCTAGCGTCCTGCAGCACAGTGTCCCCTCTTCATCAGCACCTGGCGCTTCAGGGGTGTCTCCTATATGCTGTTGGCACCCTGCTGTCATGGCTGAGCCGCTTTTGCCTTCAGACCAGTCATGTGCAGTGACTCTCTTTGCCTGTTGTGGGCAGGGTTGGTCCCTGTGTTGGTAGTGGGCCAGTTTGGTGGGGCCACCTTGGGCTTGAGTTGAGTCAGACCAGGCATTTGCCAGAGCTGTGGTAACACCAGACTGCAGGGCGATCCACCCCCTCCTCACCTTGTTGTCCTCCAAGAAGCTTTCACTGATGGGCCAGGCCGGCTGGCAGACCGTTTATCTGCCTTCAGCCCACTGCTGGGGCCACAGTCTGATACGTATCCAGGGCAGGAGTCACTTTGGAGTGGCGCTGGCCACTGCTTGGGCTCCTTACACACTGCCAGACCCATGGCACCACCCTGCTTGGGCTGCGCCAACATCATATTGGAGGCGGTGGATCCCCAAGGTGCTGGGGGGTGGGGTGGCAAGTTAGCAAGTTGGTAGTGAATGCCTGCCTTGCTGGGTCCCACGGGGGGCCATGTGTGAATGCTGCGGGGCCCTGGGTGGGAGATGGTGCATGTCAGCCCCAATTTGTTCCTGGGGGAGTCTCCTCGTTACTGCTGCTGCTCTGGACTTGCCCTGAGATTGGTAAATAACTCTCTCTCCAGTATGCTGCAGGCATTTTTCACACTGCTGCTTCTGTGCTCTGTCTTGTTGCACAGTATGTTGTGCTGTCTCTTTAAGGGCTTGGACTCAGCTTGCTCTTGCCCTCAGGGCTCTCCCAGAGCCTATCCTCTTGGTTTTTTAAATTCCAGGTTTTGAGCCAGGCAATTTGTAAGAACTCACAAAATTAGGACTCTGGTTTTCAAAGCCAAATGTTATGAGGGATTTACCTTCCCCACATGTACTTCCTGTGCCTCCTGATGTGAGGGTCTGTTTCTCTTCCTTCTCCAGGCCTTTGGCTCCCTCCCTCCTGTGGGTGGCCTGTGGGTCTGTTTCCTTCCCCATCACATCTCTGTCCTTTCTACTCTACGGTCCTCAGTGTGGCCTCTTCTCTACCTTCAGTTGTGGAATTTGTTCTGCCAGTCTTTGGGTCATTTTCTGGGTTACTTACACTGATGTGAATGTTACCTAGTTGTATCCATGGGAGAAGGTGAACTTAGGTTCCTACTCCACCATTTTCCCTGGAAGTCAGAATCTTTTTTATCAGTTGGGTTTTGACAAGGGTCCCAAGGTAATTCAGCACGTGAAAGGTATTCTTTTCAATAAAATGTCCTGAAACAATGGGCTATCCATATGGAAAAATATGAACTTTGGCCTTTACCTCCTATAACACAAAAATTAACATAGTTGATCTCAGCACAAATCTGAAAGCTGAATCTGTATATTTTCTATAAGAAAACAGAAAAAAATCTTTATAAGGGTTTCTTAGTACAAAGCGTAAATAAGATGCAGTTGGGAGAAAATTATGAATGTGTATATTACATATATAACGTGTGTATATAGCCGACAAATTATCTAGGTTTATTTTTTATTTTTGTTTATTTATTTATTTATTTATTTATTATTTTTTTTTTCTTAACATATAATGTATTAATAGCCCTAGGAGTACTGGTCTATGAATCGCCAGGTTTACACACTTCACAGCGCTCACCATAGCACACACTTTCCCCAATGTCCATAACCCCACTGCCTTCTCCCTAGGTTAACTTTTTAATCTAAAATTTATCTAATTTTTTTTCAACTCAGTAATTAGACAAACACTCACTTTCAAATGGAGTTGAATTTGACCAGGCACTTTTTAAAAGAAGAGACAATATGGAAAGTCAGTGAGCAGATGAAAAGATGCTAGGTAGAATTGATCTTAAGGGGAATGCAAATTAAAACCACAGTAAGATACTATTACGTGAGCATTTGAAACTGCCTAAAATAAAAAAGGTAAAAGAATGTGGAACAACTAGAATTCCTACATTGCTATTGAGAATGTAAAATGAACAACTACTTTAGAAACCCATGCACGTTTAACATATATTAATTAATCATATGATCCAGCAATTTTGGTCCTAAGAATTTATCCAGGAGAAATAGCATATGTTTACAGAAAGACTTGTATGTAACTTTTGAACACCCTTGTTTGTAATAAGCAAAGAATCGGATTGCCTGTGCTCAACAGTAGGTGAATGGATAAATGACCTGTGATATCTTCACACGGTGGACTACAGATCAGCAGGAGCATGGAAGAGTCTCAAAGACACGCTGAACCAAAAATGCCAGGCACAGAAGAGTACATATTGGAGGATTCCATTTATGGGAGACTCTAGAAAAGACAGATCTAATCTTCAGTTATGTAAAGCAGATCCGTGACTGCCATGGGCCAGGAGTGGGAGGGATTGACTGGGACAAACACGAAGGAATGTTTTAGGGTGACAGAATTCTTCCATATCTTGATTTTGGTGGTATTTAGATAGGTGTATACATTTTTTAAAACTCAGTGAATTGTACACTCAAATAGGTGTATTTTTTTTGTTGTAAATTGTACCTCAATAAAATTGGTTTAAAAATACAGAACAAGTAAATAAACCAAAAATGAAAACATCAGTGGATGTACTGAATTATAGATTAAACATGGCTGAAATAGTCTCTAGCTCATTAAGTAAATGCAAGATAGTAACTGAAATGTAGCACAACGTAATAAATTAAAATATAAGAGCTTAAAGGAAATCAAGAAATGATGAAGTCTGGTGTCTTTTAGAAGGAAATATTAAAATGGGAAAGGGGTCAAAGAAGTCACAGTTGATAATTTTCCAGAACTATTGGTTCTAGTAAGTGTGAAAAATCCCAGTCAAGATAAATAAAAAGAAACCCATATCTACGCTTACAATAATAAAATTGCAAAGCTCCAGAGGATAAGAAGGACAGACATAATCCACTAATGGCCAGTCAGAATCTGTTAGTATTTTTACTGTTAGTATGTTTACTGTCTAACAAAATCTGTTAGAATTTGTATTAATAATTAGTTTTTATTTTTAACGTACTGAGTTTTAATAAAGACTAACTTAGAGTTTTATGCCCAGCAAAACATTTTCTCAAGTATAGGTGATATGAAGACATTTTGGACAAACAGGCTATAAAGAAACGTTGAAAGGATAATTGAAGAAGGAAAATAGTGCCAGAATGGAGGTCTGAGTTTCAGAAAAGATTGGTGAGCAAAGACATTGGTAAAGGTAAAGATAAAGGTAAACAAATATTGATAATAGAGAACCATAATGATGACAATGTTTAGTGTGTGGGGAGGGGATTAAAAAGGCAGATAGTGGACTTAAATTATTTCTACAGTTTTGCAAATACCATGTCTTGCCGATCAAAAGTAATCAGGCACACCAGGAGAGAAAGGAATGTGAACAAAAATGAGCCCAAACAAAAGACAACAGAAAGAGCTGTAAGAGTTCTTTGATAACTGGTTACCAGACACGGATTTTAAAATAACCGTTGAATGCATAGATTAAAAAATGGCATTGAGAATTTCAGCAGACAACTGGAAACAATGTAGAAGAACAAAGTGTGAATTCTAGAAAGGAAAATGTAACTGAAATTAAGACTTGGTAGATGGGTTTAACAGTAATTTAGGCACACCTGAATGGAGAATTAATGAACTGGAACCTTTTCTGTAAAGGGCCAGATAGTAAATATTTTAAGTTTTATGGGCTGTATGTTCTCCGTCACAGTTGTTCACCTCTGCTGTTGTACTGTGAGAGCATCCGCAAACGATATGTAAGCAGTTGTTTTCTAATAGCTCTTCATTCACAACAACAAGCCACTGTCTGGATTTGGGCTGTGGTTTGCTGACCTCTAAACTAGAATATAGTGCAGAAGGAAATATCCAAATTGGTGTGAAGAGACAAAGGGTGAGCAGTACAGAAGGGAGGCAACTTTCACAAAGGAAAATTATTTTTATTTATTTATTTTTTTAAGATTTTATTTATTTGAGAGAGAGTGAGGGAGAGAGCACAAGCAGGGGAAGTGGGAGAGGGAGAAGTACTCCCCACTGAGTGGGGAGCCCGACTCAGAACTCAATCCTAGAACTCTGGGATCATGACCTAAGCCAAAGGCAGATGCTTAATGGACTGAGCCACCCAGGCACCCCTCTAGGTTTTGTTTTGTTTTGTTGTTTTTAAAGATTTTATTTATTTATTGACAGAGAGAGATCACAAGTAGGCAGAGAAGCAGGGAGAGAGAGAGGGGGAAGCAGGCTTCCCGCTGAGCAGAGAGCCCGACTCGGGGCTCGATCCCAGGAACCTGGGACCATGACCTGAGCGAAAGGCAGAGACTTTAACCCACTGAGCCACCCAGGTGCCCCCAGGTTGTTGTTGTTGTTGTTTTTACTATGATGTATTTTGACATTTTGGCCAGAATGACTATTTTTATGAGAAAAGAAACTGTTGTTTATCCGCTTTCAGACTGTGCATGGAATTTTGGAGAAGAGCAACGTTTGCAAAGATTTGACAGTCAAGTATGATTCAAGACTTCGAGAAAGAGTAAGTAACTTAATTACATATTTTTCTTCACCATGAGTTATCAGTAAATCACCTCAGTTTATCTGATGCATTCTTTTTTTTTTTTTTTTTTTTAAAGATTTTATTTATTGACTTGACAGAAAGAGACAGCGAGAGAGGGAACACAAGCAGGGGGAGTGGGAGAGGGAGGAACAGGCTTCCCGCTAAGCAGGGAGCCTGATGCAGGACTCGATTCCAAGACCCTGAGATCATGACCTGAGCCAAAGGTAGATGTTTAATGACTGAGCCACCCAGGTGCTCCTATGATACATTTGTTTTTGTTTCTGGTTTTTTTAAAGATTTTATTTATTTATTAGAGAGAGAGAATGAGAGAGAGAGAGCATGAGAAGAGGGTGGATCAGAGGGAGAAGCAGACTCCCTGCCAAACAGGGAGCCTGATGCAGGACTTGATCCTGGGACTCCAGGATCATGACCTGAGCCGAAGGCAGTTGCTCAACCAACTGAGCCACCCAGGCGCCCTATCTGATGCGTTCTTGTGAGGGAAGTGGAACCAGCTCACACATGTTAAGAACCTGCTGTGTGACCGTGGCTTTACATGTGCTCATACATAGTATCTTATGTAATTACTGAATTTGTGTAAGGCAGGCATCCTACATTGTAAAAGCAACATCTGCTCATGAGAACTAGTGCAGGAGAGTGGAATGTGAAAGTGCAAAGTTTTCATCTCAGCCTCCCTATCATACTTCCTGAGTTTAAGCTTCAATAGACTCTATTATGCCCATTTTATATATATTAGAAATGAATCTTGATGAAATGGGGATCTAGCTAAAGCCACACCTCAATTGCAGATCTGCGATTTGACCCCACGTCTCCTCCTAGAGTGGCAGTTTTTGCTCCAGTGCAGGCCTGTAAGCAGGCTGATGTCCCTGGCAGCCCTGTGATTTCTTCTGTACCTGGGGAGGAATGTCGAATGGCTGGGGCATCTCTAAAGAATTGCTTTTCATAATTTACACGCGTTCTCTGTGCTCATCCAAAATATACACTACAACTTGCTCAGAGCTGCTGCTCAGAAAGGCTCACTCTGCGTGAGAAGCCATGGCCCAGTGCTAAACCAGCATTGTGAGTTCCGTGGAATGCTGGGCGGGGCCTGTCACCCACAGTGGGGAGAGTGGGAGCGTTGGCCGGGCTGTCTCTTCTCACTCCCTGCTCTCTTCCTGAGTAGCTCCATCCTCCCCTGTGATCTCAGTGGATGTCCATCTATATATTTATGTTCAGCTGAGATCTCTTGCCTAAGCTCACCTATCAAACTACCTACTTTTTATTTCTGCGTGTGTGCCCTGCGGCTCAGTTGGACACACCCCCTCGTCTCTCCCCAGCCCCTGCTTTTACCCATTTGTTCAGACCACACGTTCTTGGTGTGCACTTGCCCCCCACCTGCACATCCTACCATCTGCTGTTGTGTCGTAGTTCCTGAGCGCCCCATCCCTCTGCGCACCCACTGCTGCTGTCCTGTACATTCAATGTCCTCCGTCCCCTAGCTCCCCCGGAACAGCGATTCTCCTGTCCTCTGACTTGTGCTCGCTCTTCTCATCTGATCTCCGTGCTGCAGCCGGAGTAGTCTGGAAAACATGGTTGCTGCGCACCTGTGTAGAACAGTTCACTGTTTCCGTTTTACCTTCAGGAGGCCATCCAGGCTCCAGCCTGGCTTGTCAGCATGCTGTAGGATACGATCTGTTGCCTCCATCTGCCTCCTTCCTCTTCCCTGTGCTCCGCGCCCAGCCTTAATAATACCAGTGAGCATTCTCATGGTGCTCCCCACACGCTGGCCCCACTACGGTCCCTGCAGCTTTGTTAATCTTCACAACACCTCCCTGTCATGAAGACTTAAAAAACCTCATTTTTCCAGCTGCAGAAAGCAAGGCACACAGAGGTCAAGTCTGCGCCCAGCATCCTAGAGTTAGTGTGTGGCACAGCTCAGATTCAGACTGAGGCCACCCGGCCCTGGATTCCATGTTCTGGACTGCTGGTGACAGGCCTCTTGCGGATCTGCTCAGAGTCGTCCAAACACCCTGCGCTCTTTCCTCCCTGAACTTCTGAATCTGTACTCCATTCCGCCTGGGATACATGCTCTCTAAACCTGGCCAACTTCTGTTCACCCTAAGACTTCGACCTGCTGCCGCCCCACAAATGCACATTAGCCGTCTCTGCTGTGTGTGTCCATGTCCGGTAGTTCCTTCCATTATGGCACTGTCCCCTTACTGCTCTAGGTTAGTACCCCACACACTGCGGTCTCAGCAGGGGTGGGGAGCTGCGTGTCCCTCCTGGTCTCTTCACCGCTCTCGCCTCATTGCCTGTGTTCCAGCACGGAATATCTAATGAATGCATGTTTCTATTCTTAAAAAAAAACAAAGTAACGATGTTTAGTGTTCTTCTTTATGATACAGGTTGTTCCGGTTATAGGTGAGGATGTGAGAATTTGAACTTGGGAATTGGAAGAGCACCTGACAACTGTGCATATGGTCTTATAAAAAAAGAACATTTCATTGTAGGACTTCTGTCTGATGGCGATGTTAGAATTTTGGGGCACCATCAGCGTAAACTGTAACAAGTGATTTATCTCAATATTTTATTAAACATTTTATTATGCAAGTAATCTGTTATCATTGTAGGGAATTAAAAGTAAGAACAGTTTGGGGAAAAATACAGTTAAAAATTTGTACCCTGCACAAATAACTGAACATGCTGGTATGTGTGCTCTTGACTTCTTTTCATGTTTGTCTGTCAGTCTATCTATCTGATCGTGTACGCATTTTTCTAAATGTACCCCTACTATATGTGTTTTTTAAAAAGATTTATTTATTTAACTTAGAGAGTGGGGGAGCAAGCACAACTTGGGGGAGAGGAAGAGAATCTCAAGCAGTCTGCTCCCCACTGAGCGGGGAGCCTGACATGGGGCTCAGCCTCATGACCCCGAGATCATGACCTGAGCTGAAATCAAGGGTCAGACGCTCAACTGACTAAGCCATCTAGGTGCCCCTCTATGTGTTGTTTTTTAACTAGTTTTTTTCCCTGTGTATTTCAGTGCTAATAAATGCACATGGATATGATCACCTAATTAGTGACTACATTATTCCAATATATGGATATTGCATAGCTACTACTGGTGGACTCCTGGGTTGTGACTAGATTTTGCACTGATATAAATAATGTTAAAATAAACCTTCTTTGTAGTTCTTTATACACACACCTAATACATTTCCTAGAAGTGGAATTGTTGAGTATGTACTTTTTTTTTTAAAGCCTTTTATACATATTGCTAAATTTCCCTGATGTAGGAGGATGTTTTTCTCATGAAAGACGTAGGAGAAAGTTTTTCTCACATAAGCATTAGCAATTGGTAGTCTTCGGTCTTCTAATATAATAGCTTCTGAAAGATGCCATTTTAATTTTTACATTATAGATTCCTGCTGAGGTACATTTCCTATTTCTTGGTCACTTGTATTTCTTTGGTGACTTCTGTGTCTCTGGCTGTGGCTTAGTCTTTACGAATCTAAAGAGCTAATGAGCTTTGAAAACACACAGATCTGGGTTTGAATTTCAGCTCCACTGTATTGGCTGTGGGAATACTGGCAAGTTGCTTAACCTCTCTGAAACTCCACTTTCCCATTTATGAATATGGAGCTGAAGATACCCATCTCGTAGTGCTGTTATTAGGATCAAATGAGAGAGTACGGATAGTACGTGTGGATAGGAGGTGACTGACTGAATCATGGTGTGCTTCATGTGTTAATCTCTAGTCCTGGAGTCTGTGCAAGTCTCTGTATTTGTCCAATAAAGCCCCACTGTCTCCTTGAGTGTGCTGTTCCATACAACCCATCTGGATACGGTGGACAATTCAAGGTGTCAGCTGTCTTTTCTAGGGCTTGCAGCCTCTACTGAGCATGTTCTCATTATCAGTTTAAAAGATAAAGTGGAGGGAAACCAAACTTCTTGCCACAATGATTGTTCCAAGTTTGTCGCAAGCATGTACTTAATCATTGTATTGCAAATTCACTTGAGGCACTTTTTTCTGTTGGACCATTGCAGAAATACGGGGTTGCAGAAGGCAGGGCCCTAAGTGAGCTAAGGGCCATGGCCAAAGCAGCTGGGGAAGAATGCCCTATGTTCACACCACCTGGAGGAGAGACCTTAGACCAGGTATGTAGCCCTGGGTGAACTTGCCAACATCAAAGTAGCTAAAATTGGGTTTCTTTTGTAAATGAAGTATCTCTAAATCTTAGCTAAGCTGTTTGAACATTGGTTCCTAAAACAACTCTGTGTCGTGTTTTTGTTTTTCCTTTCTAAGCTGTCTTTCTTATTTACTGTTAAGTTGACAATCATTGCCAACACCAGACTTAAAGGACATGTGTTATTAGATGGTACTTGAAGAAAAGTCTTTGAATCTGCAGCAGTACCTTCAGCAGTGGTAGTAGTAGGCAGGAGAGCAGTGGGTGCTGTGCAAGGAGAGTGGTAGGCAAAACACTCGAGGCAAAATAATTCAAGACTTGCAATCTTCAAGCCTCTCCCTCCTGTGTCTTTAGCTCTGTAAGTGACCCCATCGCCGTGCTTGCCTTTCTGTGGAGTGTTCTGCTTTTGACTTGCATTATTGGGAATTGCTTCCTCTATTTTTTATTTTCGTAATTTTCTTGGAAGGACTTTCTCTTAGTTTAGTAAAGGCAAGACATCGTGTCCTTGTCGGTGGTTGCTCTAACCGAACTGATGTGCTCTAGATGCAGTTACCTCGTTAACACTTCAATGGGCTTCTTTTTTAGTTGTAAGTCGCCCTAACTAGATTGTAAATGCTTCGAAGTGAGGAATTAGAAATTGTGTCTTGTTGTCCCCCAGCGTGCTTCCATCATTCCAGAAGTTTGGTGGGCATTTACTGCTGAGCGGATGACTAGAAACAGAATCTTATCTGCTTCTGTAATCCTTCTGTTGACCTATTAGAAAAATCCAGTCAGTCGTGTTTTATGTTTGTGTTTTAAGACAGTCATTAATGCCACTTTATTTTAATTTCTTGTAGGTGAAAATGCGTGGAAAAGACTTTTTCGATATTCTTTGTCAACTGATCCTGCACGAAGCTGGTCAGAATGAACAGTTTTCCCGAGGAGCTCCAAGCAACTGTCTGGAAACTTCTCTGGCAGAGATATTTCCTTTAGGAAAAACCTGTGCCTCTGAATCTAATTCAGACAGTGACGCACCAGGATTAGTGGCCAGTGTCTTAGTTGTGAGTCATGGTGCTTACATGAAAAGCCTGTTTAATTATTTTCTGACTGACCTTAAGTGTTCCTTACCCTCTACTCTGAACAAATCCGAATTTATGTCAGTCAGTCCCAACACAGGGATTAGTCTCTTTATCGTAAACTTTGAGAAAGGAAGAGAAGTGAATCCAACAATCCAGTGTGTTTGTATGTACCTACAGGATCATCTGAATGGAGGGACTGAAACTCGCTAAAATTTAAATCTACGTCAAAATCTAGCAATTTTGAACTTCTGAGGGAGTGCCTTTGGCTTTTTTTGTTTCCATCCTCTGCTAGTGCTGATTTGGAAACAGTTAAAAAGCTATTACCGCAGGTTATAAAGCTTGAATGGAATCATGGCCACAGAGAGCACTAATGGAAACCATTTAGGACTGACTTATTTTGTCTTGAGTACACTTGGCATTTTCCAAAGTAATTTTACCACCCTGGTCAGTTACATATCTGGATTGTAAATGAAGCAAGGAATTCAGTATTGCAAATTGAGGGATACATGACTTTGTAACTATTTTTTTGCTTTTTCTTTATGTTGTTATTTTTCTTTTATATCTGAAAAATCTAGCCTGTTCTATTGGCTCTTGGTAAGATACTGTATGCTTTTTACTATATCACCCAGTGCTTAAAAGAAGGAACTATTTATAATTCCCATTGCGTATTTATAATAAGAACATACTGTATTTTAAAAGTCCTTTAAATTAAAAATTCTTAACCATCCTCCATTTTGTATAAAACAAAACGACACTGAAATTTTTAATATAGAAATCAACTGTTAGAATTTTTTACTATGGAGGGTTTGAAATATGGATGAATGGAGATCATGGTTGCAGACTGGTCTGGTGAGAAAGAAGAGAAAGCATCATTTGACTAAGATACATTGAAGAAGGAATCGCTGAGCAAAAGAAGATAAAAGAGCAGCTCTTTCTCAACCAATTTATAGGCTGAAGAATTTAGTCTGGGGAAGGCTGATGAGAGTCAGTGGTTACTAGCGAACTACACAGTAACCTCAGAAGGAAGGGGGATGCTTCTTTGGAAAGAATGTTGCTCTGGTAACCCCAGCTGTGGGGTTTTGTGGGGGTGTGTGTGTACTGCTTCCTTTGTCCACAAGATGGCACCAGAGCAAAGGGATTTTGGTTAACTGAATTTTGTACTCAAGATTGGCCCCTCAAAAAATCCTCACCGAAATGGAAGTGTTTTCCATGTAGTTTGCCTTTAAGTTACCATGCTGATGAATGCTGTGAGTCTCACTTTACGAGAGTATTGATACTAAAGTTTGTCGGTGAAGGCCAAAATCACACGTAGTCCAAATTTACCGTGGACAGCCTGTAAGTCCTACGTGAAGTTCAGTATTAACACCGTTCTCAGCGGCTCCATCCCTGCCCCTCTCCTGCCGGTGCTGGAAGAGAGCTCGTGGCTGGGCACTGGCGGGAGGAATCCGCAAGTGAGAAACTCGAAAAGGGGATCGAAAAGGATGAATAATAATAAATGTCTGAATTCTCACCATCCAGAAGTAATAACTTCCCCCTTCTTCCTTTTTTTTTTTTTTTTTTTTTTTTTTTTTTAAGAAATTAACACAGTGAGGCCTAAGTGAGGTTCCTTTAACTAGTCCCCACAGTGCCATGCCCTCTTGTACTCTGCAGAGACCACCACGGTGCGGTGCGTCTGTGTGTCCATTCATCCGTTCCCGACGTTTACCTGGATCCTAAGGAAACGGTATTGCTTCAGTGTTTTTCCAAATGTACATGAATATCATCAAATCTGTATTCTGTATGTTCACGTACTATATCATGTGGCTCTATCTATGTTGATATGTATGGATGTGCTTAGTATCACTGCATTCTATTAAATACACGTGGCACATTTTGTTCATTTAGTCTCCTGTAGTGGACATTTGTGTATATCCAGTATTTTCTTTCAGGACACAGCCTTCCACCTCTCTCTTGGTACGGTGGCATAAGAAATGTGCATCTCCAGTTTGACAAGAGTCAAAGGGGTGTTAAGAGTCGCCGGCCTGGTTTTCCGTCTCACTGGCAATGTTCGAAAGTTCCTATTTTTTACATTTCTGTCATACTTGATGCTGCCTGATGAAATTCTATGAATCTGATGAGTGAAAAGTATAATGTCATTGCTTTAATGAGCTTGTACATGATTCCTAACGAGTCTGGGCATTTTTTCCATGTGTATTGACAGGATCTCCTCACTGGTGAATCACTGGTGTACAATCTTTGCCTGGTTTTACTGTTGGGCTCTTTGGCTTTTTCTTAGTCAGCTGCAGAGTAACATGGCAAATAACTTCCAGTTTACTTACCTTTTACATGATGTTTATTAAGCATTTTTTTTTAACGTTAAGTGTCTTTTGTTATTAAGTCAGATCATTGTATTGTGTCCATTATTGTGTTCTACTAGGAGGTCATAGAGTGGCTTCCAACTTTCTTATATTTTTAAAGGATTTTTTGAATGCTAGATCTTCAGATTATCTAGAGATTATTTTTCTATGATATATGGTAAGAATTCAAAATTTATATATTTTTTCCTTGTAGTAAAAAAGTTACCCAACGTCATTATTAGGAGTCTCTCCAAGTGATTTGTGATTCTACTCTATTCATACCTCCATGGGCCCATATTTGCTGGAGTTGGTGGGCTTGGTTCTGTTTTAGTGAGCTATGTAGTCCCATAACAATATCATAATTAGTTCCTGTAGCTTTGTAACTTAATATCCTGTAGGGTACATAATTCCTCTTCTTACATTCTTTTTTTTTTTAATTCAAGTTTTATTAGTTTCAGGTGTACACATAATGATCCAACAGTTCTGTGCGTTACTCAGTGTTCATCATGGTAAGTGTACTCATAATCCCCTGCACCTATTTCCTCTACGCCCCCACCCACCTCCCCTCTGGTAACCTGTTCTGTACACTTAAAATTCTGGTTGCTTGTGTCTTTTTTCTTTCTTTCTTTCTTTCTTTCTTTCTTTTTTTTTTTTTCTTCTATTTTGTTTCTTAAATTTCACTTAGGACTGAAATCATGTGGTACTTGTCTTTGTCTGACTTAGTTCACTTAGCATTATACCCTCTAGGTCCATCCACGTTGTTGCAAATAGCAAGATCTCTTTATTGTGGCTGAGTAATATTCCCTTGTGTATATATACAACATCTTCTTTATGCATTCATCTGTTGATGGACACTTGGGTTGCTTCCATGTCTCGGCTATTGTAAGTAATGCTGCAGTAAACATACGGGTGCGTATATCTTTTTGAATTAGTGTTTTCATATTCCTTGGGTAAATACCCAGTGGTGGAATTACTGGATCATACGGTAATTCTATTTTTCATTTTTTGAGTAAGCCCCACACTGTTTTCCACAGTGGCTGCATCAGTTTGCATTCCCACCAACAGGGCACAGAGGTTCCTTTTCTCTGTATCCTTGCTAACACTTGTAATTTTCTGGGTTTTTTGATTTTAGCCATTCTGATAGATGTGATACCTCCTTGTGATTTTGATTTGTATTTTCCTAATGATTAGTGATATTGAGCATCTTTTCATCTGTCTGTTGGCCATTTGTATATCTTCTTTGGAAAAATGTCTATAAGTTTTAAATTTATAATTAAACTAAATTAATTATAATTAAATTAAATCAAAATTAAATTAAAATTTAATTTAATTAAAATTAAATTTTTAATTTTTAATTGGGCTATTTATTTTTTTGGTGTTGGATTATATTAAAGTCTTTCTATATCTTGAATTTTCATGCCTTATCAGATATATCATTTGCAGATATCTTCTCCCAATCCGTAGATTGCTTTGTCGTTCTGTGGATGGTTTTTTTGCTCTGCAAAAACTTTTTATTTTGCTATAGTCCCATAGTTTCGTTTTGCCTTTGTTTCTCTTGTCTGGGGAGACATATCTAGAAAAATGTTTCCGTGGCTGATGTCAGAGACATTACTGCCTATATTTTCTCCTAGGAGTTTTATGGTTTCACATCTCACTTGAGGTCTTCAGTCCATTTTGGGTTTGTCTCTGTGTGTGGGGTAGGAAAGCATGTAGCTATCCAGTTTTCCCAGCACCATTTGTTGAAGATTCTGTCTTTTTCCTGTGGCATGTTCTTGCCTCCTTTGTAGATTAATTGACCATATACGGTATGGGTTGATTTCTGGACTGTATTCTGTTGTACTGATCTCTGTGGCTACTTTTGTGTCATTTTTCTTGTTTCATTTTTGTAGCTGTCCAAGTTATTTTTGTGCTCCTCTATTCTTCCATATACATTTTAGAATCAGTTTCCAGAAAAATTCAGTTGCAGATTTATTTGGAATCTAGTGCATTTGTTAATTTATCTGGTCACTCAATACGTATTTCCCAAGCATGGCACCCACATGTCAGGCTATTATAAGAACTATTAGAACTGTTATCAGAGCTGCAAATATATAGCAGTGAACAAAAAAATAGACCAAGTCTCCATCCTCGTGGAACCTGTAGTCTGTCAAGGAAGACAGATAAGTAACATGTCAGCGTGTGATCAGTGAGAGAGAGAAATGGAGCAAGGTAAGGGGAATAGAGACGCGAGGGAAGATGCTGCTTTATTTAGGGTTAAGTACAATAGGGCTTTCTAAAGTGTTCTCAGAGTTCTGAAGGGCTAGAGTGAGCTCTGCTGATCTCTGGGAGAAGAGCAACCCAGGCAGGGAGTAGAGAGAATTCAGAGACCCTGGGCAGGGATCTTATTTTGCATGCTTGACCTGCAGTGGGAGTTGGGAGAGTGGTAGTAGAAGAAGGCTAAAGGGAAGGGGAGGTGGGGTGGCCCCGTGGCCTACGCTAAGGATTATGGAGAGTGTTTGTTGATTGATCGTTGTCTGATGGGAGCAGTCAGTGACCCAGGAAAGGTTTGTGGTCAGAAGACTTGAATGCAAGTTCTAGGCCTGGCTCATAGTTTTGTGGCTCATCAGGTCTCTTAATACACCGGAGCTGCTGTTTGCTCACACTAAATAGAGAATAGTTCTAGTAACATATGTATGTGTGTGTGTGTGTGTGTGTGTGTGTGTGTGTGTATGTGTGTGTGTTTTCCTCCTGAAACCTGAGAGTAAGGTGGAGATGTCATGCTCTTTGTGTATTTCCTAAGAGCAAAGACGTTCTCATATAAAGCCAGAGAATAAATACCAAAATTTGATATTGGTACAATCTATTATCTAATCCACAGACCATATCTAATGTTTCTAATTATT